AGAGAGGTCTTTCTCAGTGGAGCGCGGACCCACATCGACGAACCAACACAAGCATCACTATTTTCGCTACACATGGCTTGGGTAAATCACCAGACAACGAGCTATGTTCGAGTATCAGCACCCAAGACCCACACCAGAGCAATACTATATGTTGAACTAACACAGTTATTCTATTGCGCGCTGCAGTCGCAGATCTGATCAGGATTTCGCGACCAAGCTCAGATTCAATACCATTTGTGTCTTTCAATTGCTCTATCGACGATGGGACCGACACTTCTACGTGGGATTCAAGACAAGCAGATGCGGTCATTTGCAGCAGCACGGCAGCTATCGGCCTCTGTTTCGGTGCAGTGACGGGAGGCGAGTGCCCAGTCGTCATATCATGCGTGTCGATGGAATTTCGTACTATTCGACATTCCCGTACAGTTCACAGCAGTATCTAGTGGCTCAGCTCATCACCTAGTAGTTACCATCTTATAATCTGCATTGTGCTAGGACATGACTGAGCGGCGGAGGTACGATCGCTTGCGAAGGTGACCGATTGTCGCCGGTGAGCTTACGCATACTTTTAGTATGTTGCTTGACTCGAGTACGTTAAGAACTGTTTTCGTTGTATTTTCTCGGGTTGGTCGTGTGTCAGTAGTTTAGGCGGATAGCTCCATAGTATTACGTTTCCTGAATGGCATCCATGTGATATATAAGCAGTGCCACGCGGCGGTTAGTGGTGTCGAGGTGTTGAGCTCTGTTGTTGTTCGACGGATCTTGAATTCGTTACGTGATACGTGCCCTTCCGTGGATTACGGGACTACTGATCAGGAGCCTCGCACGCTTTGGCTTATGATTTGGTACAGCAGCTACTCGAATCACCTACAAGATCTTCCTACGATAGTGACTAAACTCTTTGTTTTGCATTGTCCGAGATAGGATTGTCAGAGATGACTGCAGCAATATCTTGGGCAGATCAGAGTACTTGCGCGTATTGGTGAGCAGGGTATTAGTAATAGAATCTTGACTGCTGCTGCTTTTGTTGTGTGCAGAGGTTGTGGAAGTAACTTGAAAATAGCCCACATTGCTTTCGTATACATTGCGACAATCGAGTAGAATGGCATCTCCTCCTCTCGCCTGCTGCAATTTGCTATCCCATTCTTGTGGCGACAGGTGTAGAGCTCCTGGAAAGTTGGGTGCTTGATTTGCCAATTGTCGTAGATGATTGTCTAGTTGTAGCTTGTCTTGATCCATGAGGTCTTTGCGTTGTTGTTGGCGTCGTTTTCGTCGGATTGGGATTGTTGGAGTATTTTCTTTTTATAGTCTCGTGAACCTAGTTTGTTGTCCAATTGTCGTTGTCATAGATGGAGCATCAGGCCTGGTCAAACAAACTCAGCTTACCGCGAACGAGTTGATGTGGCCTGACCAATGTATAGGTGCCACATCAAAGACTTGTGTCGAATGGGGGTTTTCTCCACGGGCAAAATCCGCCGTACGAGCTGCAAGTAACTTGTACATCTAATTCCCAAGTTATCGCAACGAGATGCGAATCGCGTCAATTCGGAAGAAATCTCGCAATTGCCTCTTCGACGTACGCTGACAACAGAGACGAGCACCGCGAACCGGTGAGGCTAGTGGTCAAAACCCGAGAAGAACGCCAATTGATGCCTTCTGGGCCTGACGCCGTATCCGTCCAAGTAACTTTCTGTGTTGTTGACTAAATGTCACGTTGAATACTCCAGCAGCTGAACGACAGGCGGCATTCCCCCAAACAATCCACTAAATGCCATATATTTGCAATAGTACCACTGAATATCTCCAATTCCTGATATTTTTGCCGTGATTGACCAAATCAGGCGTGCTGAAGAAACACGATTTCATCTTGGGCGGTCCGTAGGCGAACAACAGCAGCTAAGCTTGGAGTCTTCCGTCGAACGTCGCCGCTGGTCGTGATAAAAGTCGACAGGCATATGCCAGCTTCGAGTGCCTTGGCAACAACCTATCCTCTCCTCCAACTTCATGTTCGTTACACTTTCTTGCTTGCTTGCTTGCTTGAATTGTGCACTTACCGGGTCTACAATGGACAAAGGAACAACAACCGTGAGAACATAACCACAACGGGACGCGAACCACAAGCAACAAGGACACAACCAAAGAAATCGAAAAACACACGATGGTTGTTGTGGGTTGAGTTGTGAGAAAAGCCAATGGCGGAAACGATTAACCCCATCGCTACTGTACATGGTAAAACACTGGGCAACTGAGCGTCTCAACTGACGCTCTCCCGCCTCATTTCTCTCACTTCAAATTCGAAAATCTTCATTTCTTGACCAAACCAATGACATTCATTATTCGAACAAGGCAATGACATGACAATGAATCGTCCTCTCTTCTTCTCCTCCCTTCTTCTTCTCCTTCTACTATTGAGCATATTGCCTTGTTGCCATGGCCAAGAGACGTGGTGAATGCTCTGAATGCCACCACTGGAACCAGCAGCAATGCTACTACTAGTAGCGATGCCTCCAGTCGACAGTACTATTATGATCCGACCGACTATGCGAGCTGCCATCGCCAAACTGGACGAAATATTATGGCCGCGGGAGGACTGCGTTCCCACTCCCGTCAACTCTCCAGTACCCATCGACTTTGTCGTGCACATACCCACTCGAATATTCCCGCACTGGATCAACTTTCCAAGAGTTTGAAACTGTGTGTTGGCGCACTATTAGGAGTCAGCGGACGTGTGGGTAGCGCACCGGTACTAACCTTTTCGAATTGGTAACGCACATGGAGAGGATGTTGACCAATGGAACGCGCGGGACACCGCGCGCGCGCGAAGATGGAATGTGCAACGCGTTCTGTTCAGCGCGTTCTACGAGCAGCAAGTCGAGAGTGACACCATTTATCATTTAAAAGTACAAGACACACTCGGCGATGGAACCTGCTGTGTCTTTGGATCCGGATGGTTCACCATTACCAATGCCATTCCAACCATTGCCACGCACGCCAACAAACAACGGGAGAACGTCTGGTACCAGTTATTATTCCAAGGAACAGGGAACCGCTTTGTACGTGGGAACTGTTAAGGACGCAACGAAGTGAATGAATTGCAATTACGCAATCTGGCACAAGTATACTTGTATATTGATCAAAATGGAACATTACGCCGATGGCGATTGTCCGTACGATTAGTCGTACGGTCTTCTACCCCTGCGTTGAACGGAATTGGAATACTGACCCAGTGTGTCCATTTATCAGTTCAGGTTCGTTTGGCGGCGTAATCCGAAGAGAGAAACCATCCACCATCAAGATTACAGCAAAAGATTGTCGTGCCAGAGACAACAACACCCAAAAAGAGTACTTCCTACGAGCCAGGCATGGATCATTTTGGGGATATTCTCCCGTAGAGTGGACCGTAACGACAACAAACAAACAAACAAAAAAACTTCCCGACCTACAGACTTATCGCCGCCCTCCCAATTTTCCACTTGATAAGGAGAAGTCCACATCAAACCGTGGCTCTGAATAGAAGGCAGCATTCAATTTTCCATTCACAGAGGACAAGGCCACAACAAAGCACTAGCAAACTTTCCACTACATGTACTGAGTTTCATAATATGGCTATCTTTACTAAGCTGCATAGGCATCTGTTATAAACTTCTTGTGAATAGGAAGACACCACTCCTTCAAGCATTACTTTGCCCTTTTCTGTATCCCATTTGTTCTTATCGTATTATAAGAACCCTGTTTTCCAAAGCCGTACTATCTACTGTTGCTAGTAGCAATATCCATCCTCGGTGTGTTTGTCATCTTTCGATCACAACGCAAATTATTATGTACAGTTGTCCCTTACTCAGCTGCATCCAATTGCTTATGAAACGTCTGAATGGTAATGTTGTTGAATTCTCCAAAACACATGCCTTTCTTCCATCGTGACTTGATGCTATTGAGTTTCAGAGCCTTGTTGGCTGGATTGTCCGGACAACAGCAATCATCCACAGTGCGTCCCTCTGGAATGGTCATGGGAAACTCGTACTCGGGCTCCAAAAAGACGGCAAATGCTTCTCGTGTGACGCCTTTTGTGAGAGTGGACTTGACCGCATGCGGAGTGGCTTGCAACAATCCTCCCGATAAGATCTGAAAGGTTTCTCCAATTTGATATCCAATGCAATCGGTGGGGAGACTCACTTTGACCACCTCGTTGGAACGTGAATGAATGTACAGACCAGCATTGCTATCAGGGGCAGCAGGGAGTTGCTTTTGAGGTTTTTGTGTGGACAGATACATGGCTGGTACCAGCCCCGTCAAGGAGCCGTGATCATTGTGCCAGCCACACCAGAGCTGATCTCCCTCATCAGGTTGTGTACTATTATTGTTGGCCTCAAAGTAGTGCAAGAGGCGTGCTTTGCAATTGAGTGATTCGGTCAGAATGTTTTCCAAGTCCACCAACACGCCATGTTGCTCGCAGAATACTCGACATACCCTAGAAACCATTCGTCCGACTTTGGCAATACATTGACCCATTTCAGAAATGGCGGTTTCCAATTCCGGAAGCGTCGATGGAAATATGTTGGGTGCGAAAAATGGAAAATTATTTGAATCAACTGCCAGAGCTTTCTTCCTCTTCTTGCGGATTGTCATTGGAGTTTTGATGCAGTCTCTGCATCATTGCCGCCACCAAATCGTTCACCAGTGGATTGGCATAAAACGATCCTTTTGACAAATCAGGGACTCCCGGCGTCAGTTCCTCCTTTCCATGGCTCCAGCCAACCGCATAGCAAGCCTTTTCCGAGACACAGCTATCCAAATCTTCTGGGGGTAGCTCGGAAACTTTGGCAGCCAAAGGAAGCAATCGTTCTCGTAATTCCACAAAACCTGGGACACCTGAAACAGAGAGAATCCCCAATCCATTGCTGCCATAGGCACGCCCAATGTCATTGACCAGACGCTGTCGGAGACTGTCATTGGAATTGCCCTCTTCACAAAAATCCAGCAGATCCTGGTACGTGATGGTTACCAGCGCCATTTTCTCACTCTAGTTTAATTAACAAAATGACACGCTAGACTTCTGGATATCAATGTATAATCGTATATGTAGAGAGAGGGAGAGAGGAGAGAGAGCCAGAGCTAGCTAGCTAGACTTTGAAGAATAAAACACTCCTTCCTACACGTACTTTCGTACTGTACGGTTGATATCCCAGGATGTGAACTCCTCGAAAACAGCAATAATAATTCATATGCCCTCTTGGGTCGTCTTATTTCCAGTACTTAGTTTAACTCGTTTACTAATACAGGATTATGGTGAATAGAATCGAATGAATCATGTTGCTTTATTTAGGGTTTAGTTTTTGCAATTTTGAAGTCAACCGTGGTTATGTTAGGTTGTTGAAAAGTTTTTGTGTGATAGTATGTTTTAAGTGGAGGGTTGGCTGCATTCCGCTGGGAGCTTGGCTGTCTTCTTTTTCCTGCGTCCTGTATTCCCGCTCTCTTCCGGTACTGGGGATTCGGAGTTATTCGGTAATAGGATCTGAGCAAGTTCGGCATACTTTCTTCATACCTTGTGGGAGTGTCATCATTCTGACTAATTCGCAGTGGTGGACAACTTTGGACCGAAGAGCGACGTGGGTTGACGCTGGCGAACAGTGGAGACGGAGATGACGCATTTGGTTGATTGGAACTGGGAATGGTTTGCGTAATAATCATTGGGAGGGTCCGTATTGCGGGATAGGTTTTGAAAGTGAGGGCACAGGGGATTTACACTAAACGTGGAAGCTACTCGTGTAGGAGACTTAACATGCTCTGTGGAGGGTCTCTGATGGGTCCTGAGTCCTGCTGGTGCTTATATCGAGAAGAGTTCCCAAGAGAGCTACCTCAAAGTTCATGCCAGCAGAGTGTGTGGCAGGTAGTGCAAAACCATGGGGAAGGGCCAATGTGGCAGCTTGAAGGCGAACTGGGTGGAGTAGGGTGGGCGGGGGATGTGTGAGCGTGCGTAGTGGCTTGTATAGTGCTGGTCGTAGTTGGCTGTATTAATGTTGGCGACGGAGGTCACATCAGTGATGGCCCGCTCCAAGTCGAGTCGCACCACAAGTCCGATGCAAATCACAAAGGTTTGTTTCGGATGAAACCAGATAGCTGGACGTAAAGACGTGCGATAGCCTCGGAGTTGACGCACAAGAGGCCAAATAGAGTACCCATGCCCTTGTCGTCCTGAGGAAATTCGGATACAGTGCGGTATTCGACTTGCTTTCCTTGATACGATACCCAAGAAATCCAGTCTATACAAGGTGAGTCATGATGTGGAGTGGGTGATACAGCTCACTCCAGGTGTCAAGGACCTAGTACCACTTGTCCTGTTCGCACGAGAACTAGGAAGGTTTCAATCCTTCTTTGCCGGTCGTACACGTATTGCATGTAGGCCGTTGTTAAAGGTTTCATTGAACCAACTTCAAGGCAATTCTGGGGTTGGGATCTGGGGCAACAAACTGTTCACCAGTTTTTGGTCAATTCACCTCTGGGGCACATGTTAACAAAGCCTCTTTGGTCATAAGCAAGTACCGTTGGTGTCCTCGTACATTAAGAGCTTTTCCCCATCAGCAGAAGCGGGGTCCACCTAATTTGAATACCCACTCGATCATGTGCTTGTCAGCGGGGCTTGAACCAAGGCCATCTGTCTTTGGGTTTAACGCCTTGACGGAGTGGTCCTTGCGTCGGTTGTACATAACACCGGTAGCTTCTTTTCAACAAAGCCTGTGAACTTAGGAACATTCCGGGGAAGGGGATTCTTCGTCTTCCTTGAGGTTTCTGGGAATTACAGCGTGTGAACTCAACAGGAGTTATTGAATAATGACCTCTTGCTGTTGCCGCGAAAGCCGGACTGGTGTACCGGCCGCCCTTACGGATCTTCACTATCACTTTTGCAGCTGTTAGATGAACCACAAGTATCGGTATGGAAGCATACGCCGGAAGTATGGAGGCGATTGGTATTCGACGTTGCGAACGAGCGGTGTGGTTTTTGGATGTGATGGGGGCGTGGATTGGCAAGAAAAGAAACGGAGGTGATATGGTGTTACCGGGAGTTCTGAAAACTTGAAGTCCGAAAGAGGAAGGTGATTGGCCATGTTGAAAGGCAAAACATTGTCCAACAGAAGAAGGTAAAATAGAAAGAACTTACGTGGGCAGGAGAGTTTGCTGATGGGTTGGCTGCTAGGTAGGATGAGGGATGTTTGAGGTTTGCTGAACTGATTTTGTGACTGTTTTAAGATGATCGATGCGATAGGAATGGTTGCATTTATACATTTTCAATGCAAAAAAAGTATATATAGAAAGCGGGAATGTCTTCGCCTGAGTGTATTCGCTTATACGATTGAGCGGAGATAGTGTAGCCTGGCTTGTAAGGCTATAGTGAAACAGTACACTGGTATCGAAGGGGGAAGGGGCTTTGCCAGCGGAAGTCGTTTACGATACCTTCTCTAGAAATCGCAAGTTTTTGTGGAAAGATTCGATTTGTATTATTTAAGGGACGGTAACGTAGACACATGAAGAACAATCGTGTGATTGGAGTTGTGTGAATCCCCCAATTGCTGCCCCCCTGCAGGGGGTAGTTTTTAGGCGAGTAATGTTATGAAACGGTGCAGATATCAAATATGAATTTGCCGACTACCTACAGGTTCTTGTGACAATTCACCTCCACCAGATGACAGAGCGGGGCCTCACGATTTTTGATTTTCGGGGTATATGTCATCTAAGTGAAAATCACTGCGAGATGGGAGCGGGGCTCGGATGTAAATGAAAGACTTGGGATTTACTTAACGATCTACATGACAGATTAGGAAATGTGGTGCGACTGGTTTCGTGGAAATGAATAAAGATTTGTCCAGCTGTTCCCACTGTGTGGCTGGTGAGGACTAGCGGATGCCCCTAACTAGAGGCGAAACTGGTCAGCTGTTCGGAGGACATCACTGCGGAAATTCGTGAAAATGGATCGGAGTATAAGAATACGGATACAGCAAGTAAGCAATTTGCTTCGATTACCAACCGGATGGCATGTGTGTACCACGACGAAAGTGCTGGTGGCGAAAAGAAACTGGAAGATAGGCTTCGTTCTCACAAAATTCTAAAGGGAAAAAGAAATTCGGAGGCGCGAAAGGATGTGTCGCACTACTACATCGCGTGCTTCGGTCGGGGCATTTCTCTTCCTTACTCTGGTGCAGCTATACATGTCATGACTGGAGATCCACATACCCTTTGAGCCTTTGAAATTATCGGCAATGTCAAGACAATGGGAGTCGTCATCAGAGTCAGAGCAACATATTCCAATGCCCGCGTCAAACGTATGACAATCTGATGATGATGTATCCATTGACCAAGACGTTTACGCCTTATGTCTGCTCGGTATGCTATGAAACCATCATGCACGAAAACAATGTGGAAGGGTGTTCTTCGATCAGTTAAAGAAGATTCAAGAACATCTACGATGGGACAACTTAACGACACAAAGTCCCTTCCAAGAGTCAGAGCTTCTGTGCGCCCGAGTATACCGCGTTGTAACGCTGTTGATGACTGTTTACCCACCAGAGGCGAGCATTAGGATTCCCAATCACCCTGGCGAGTGCGAGCGTTCTGAAGGGATGTCGAAGTTGGCTTGGTGAACTGGCGTTTTCACCACGTGGAGTTTATGGGAAAAGGCGCAACGGTTGGAAATGGGGCATATCCTTTTGCAAAGGATGTCACGGAAAACTGAAGAAGGAGAAGCCTGAAACGTCACTATATGCTATTGTCAACAGCAACCTTGTTGGATGTGCACCTGATAATCTCAAAGAATTAACAGAATCGAATGTGAGGAAGTAAGCAGCTGTCTAATATTAACGATCCAGTAGGAGAATGACAGTAATCGCATTACTTGGATAGGGTAGCTGCCGTTCGAATTTACCTGAACCATGTTGCAGGAGAGAGGACTAGGAAATGAAAAACCTATTGAAGGTAAAGGATCATGACCTACCTAGTTTTCATAAGCCAGTGAATTCGGTCGTGTGACAACGCCGTCTTGCGATGTGTTTGCTTCCTCCGAAATATAGGGTTAGGTTAGATTGCATGGCTAATTAAAAAAGCGTGCATCTATGGCACAGGATGCATACGCACAAATCTGACTTAGAGCTAGGGCACTGCAATTGTCCGTAACGAACTGTGGTGAAGTTTTTTTAGGCGCTTACACGAGGGAGAATGGCGACCACTAGTGGGACTAACTCGGAGTATTACGTCAACCATGGAGACCAATATTCTCATGGCTGCTGTGGAATGTCTTGTACAGAATAACCGGGCACAACTGAACACTGAATCGTCTCTACAACGAGAACACCAACGCGATGGAAGGAGGGGGATTCCATCAGAGGTTATTCTGTCAGGCCATAACCTAGCAGCCCGAGTGATAGTCGTCAGATTTTTACTGACCTCCCGTGCTTTACGTCATGTTCCTGGAGTGCATGGGACGATTCGATGCCACATTCCACTTGAGGGGATTATTCAGGAACATTTCTTGTTCAGGCCCATTTCTTCTAGATGTTCCGTTGCACTACCAATCACATTGTATTCTACCCGCATAAAGGTCTTGATCCCCTTCAAATTTTTCATCCTTCCGCCAACTTAGGAAAAACAGTACCCGTTAGATTTCACTGGCGTAATAAAGTCTATCTCGACTTCTGTTATTTCCTTGAGAATATCAGGTGTACATCCAACAAAGTTGCTTTTGACAATAGCATATATTGGCGTTTCAGGCTTCTCCCTCTTCAGTTTCCCGTGACATCCTTTGCAAAAGGATATGCCCCATTTCCGACCGTTGCGCCTTTTCCCGTAACTCCACGTGGTGACAGCGCCAGTTCACCAAGCCATCTTCGACATCCCTTAAGAACCCTCGCAGGTGGATTCCTAAAGCGGTAACAGTCCTCAACAGCTTCACAACGGTACTTCGGATGAGGTGCCTGGGACATGGGCTTTGTCTCAAACGTAGACTTGGGGGTTTCCTTACACTCTGAGGACCTCTCTATGTTAACTTTGGGGCAAAAAAATTCCTTCCGGACGGAGATATCGGCTTAGACAGAGGCCATTGCCACATTGGTTTCGCTGCATGAAGGTGGGTTTCAATATCGACAATGACGCGAGCAGACATAGGGGGCGATCTTGGTCCATAGGATCCATCATTACATCGTTGTCATCCGGGACGGTTTGATGTTAAGCCTGTACGCCTCCCGGTCTTGACTTGCCGTAACCTTTCGGGAGCATGGAGCTGGGCGCCCCATGAAGCCCGGGCCGCTAGTAGAAGGACACATACCTGCCTATTTGGAGGACCCACGAAGCCCTTAGTCTTTGCTCAAGCAGTTCTTAATAACGAACAGACACCTTCGCTGTATGCATCGTGGTAATCGAAGCAAAATTGTACCCTATTATCTATACTCCGATCCAATTTTCACGATAGACCAGCTGACTTCACTGCTAAGCAATCAAGCTATCTACACCGAACCACATAGTGAAAACAACGTGACAAATCTTTATTCAATTCAGCGAAACCAGTCGCAACACGTTTCCTAATCTGTAATGTTGATCGTTAAGTAAATCCTACGTCTTTCGTTTACATCCTCCCCCCGCTCCCATCTCGCTGTGATTTTCACTTAGATGACATATACCCCGAAAATCAAAAAACGTGAGGGCCCGCTCTACTCAACTGGTGGATAAGATAAAAAATCATTATATGCACCGTTTAAAATACCCTAAATCCCTGCCGGCAGCAATTGGGGGATTTCAAACAACTCCAATCACACGTGGTTTCTTCATGTGTCTACGGTACTGTCCCTTAAATAATTCAAATCGAATCTTTCCACGAAAACTTGCGATTTCTAGCGAAGTTATCGTACACGACTTCCGCTGGCAACGCCCCTTCTCCCTTCGATACAAGTGTAATGTTTCACTATAGCATTACAAGCCAGGCTACACTATCTCCGCTCAATCGTATCAGCGAAAACACTCAGGCGAAGACATCCCCGTTTTCTATATATACTTTCTTTGCATTAAAAATGTATATATGCAACCATCCCTATCGCATCGATCATCTTGAAACAGTCACAAAATCAGTTCAGCAAACCTCAAACATCCCTCAACCTACCTACCAGCCAACCCATCAGCCATCTCTCCTGCCCAAGTAAGTACTTTCTATTTTACCTTCTTCTGTTTGACAATGTTTTGCGTTTCAACATGGCCACTCACCTTCCTCTTTCGGACTTCAAGTTTTCAGAACTCCTTTACCATGTCTTCCCAAACACCCGACATCAAAACACGTCGTCGCAATCGACCCCTACTTCAGCGGTATCAACAGCAAAAGAAAAAGGCGGCGGCAACAAAGCAAGAGGTCCTTTCAACTCCTGTGAGTTCCACGCTGTAATTCCCAGCAACCTCAAGGAAGACGAAGAATCCCCCTTCCCCGGAATGTTCCTCAAGTTCACAGGCTTTGTTGAAAAGAAAGCTACCGGGTGTATGTACAACCGACGCAAGGACCACGCCGTCAACGGCGTTAAACCCAAAGACATGTTGGCCTTTGTTCAAGCCCTCGCTGACAAGCACATGATCGAGTGGGTATTCAAATTGGTGGACCCCGCTTCTGCTGATGGGGAAAAGCTCCTTATGTACGAGGCCACCAACGGTACTGCTTATGACCAAAGAGGCTTTGTTATCATGTGCCCCAGAGGTGAAGTTGACGAACAAACTGGTGAACGTTTGTTGCCCCAGATCCCAACCCCAGAAATGGCCTTGAAGTGGTTCAATGAAACCTTTAAACCGGCCTACATGCAATACGTGTACGACCCGGAAAAGAAGGATGAACCCTTCCTAGTTCTCGACAAACAGGACAAGTGGTACAAGTCCATGACACCTGGAGTGAGCTGATCACCCACTCCGACATCATGACTCACCTTGTGACGGAATCTTGGATCGATCAAGGCGAATACCGCACTGTATCCGAATTCCTCAAGGACGACAAGGCCCATGTGTACTCTATTTGACCTCGTGGTCAACTCCCGCCTTCACGTCTTACGTCCGTGGATTTCACCGAAACAACCTTGGATGCATCGTACTTCGGTCGCATGCGGCCATCACTGGTGCCCGTCGCAACATAATTACAAGCCACTACGCACGCATATACAAGCCACTACGCACGCACACCACCCCCGCCCCCACCTCTACTCCACCAGTTCGCCTTCAAGCTGCCACATTGGCCCTTCCCCATGGTTTTGCACTACCCCCCGGCATTAACTTTGAGGCCTTCTTGGTAACTCTTCTCGAAAAGCACCAGCAGAAGAACGGTGGTAAGTCTCCTACAGTAGCATCCCGTATAAATCCCCCGGGCCCTCACTTTCAAATCCTCATTACTGGACCTCCCAAATATTATTCGCAAATCAATCCCAGTTCCAATGCAACCAAAAACGTCATCTCCCGTTCCACCTGTTCCACGAACCACGTCGGCCAAAGTGTCACCTGCGAATAGTCAGAATGATGACACTCCACATGGTATGAAGAAAGCTGCCGAACTTGCTCACGATCCTATTACCGAATACCCCAGTACCGAAGAAGAGCGGGAAACAGAGGAAAAAGAAGACACCAAGCTCCCAGCGGAAGCGAGCCAACCCTCCACTTAACACATACTATCACACAAAACTTTTACAACCTCACATATACCACGTTGACTTCAAAATTGCAAAACCTAAACCCTAAATATAAGCCACATGATTCATTCGATTCTATTCACCATAATCCTGTATTAGTAAACGAGTTAAACTAGTACTGGAAACGGAGATGACCCAGAGGGCATATGAATTATTATTGCTGTTTTCGAGGAGTTCACATCCTGGGATATCAACCGTACAGTACGAAAGTACGTGTAGGAAGGAGTGTTTTATTCTTCAAAGTCTAGCTAGCTAGCTCTGGCTCTCTCTCCCTCTCTCCCTCTCTCTACATTATACATTATACATTGATATCCAGAAGTCTAGCGTGTCATTTTGTTAATTAAACTAGAGTGAGAAAATGGCGCTGGTAACCATCACGTACCAGGATCTGCTGGATTTTTGTGAAGAGGGCAATTCCAATGACAGTCTCCGACAGCGTCTGGTCAATGACATTGGGCGTGCCTATGGCAGCAATGGATTGGGGATTCTCTCTGTTTCAGGTGTCCCAGGTTTTGTGGAATTACGAGAACGATTGCTTCCTTTGGCTGCCAAAGTTTCCGAGCTACCCCCAGAAGATTTGGATAGCTGTGTCTCGGAAAAGGCTTGCTATGCGGTTGGCTGGAGCCATGGAAAGGAGGAACTGACGCCGGGAGTCCCTGATTTGTCAAAAGGATCGTTTTATGCCAATCCACTGGTGAACGATTTGGTGGCGGCAATGATGCAGAGACTGCATCAAAACTCCAATGACAATCCGCAAGAAGAGGAAGAAAGGCTCTGGCAGTTGATTCAAGATAATTTTCCATTTTTCGCACCCAACATATTTCCATCGACGCTTCCGGAATTGGAAACCGCCATTTCTGAAATGGGTCAATGTATTGCCAAAGTCGGACGAATGGTTTCTAGGGTATGTCGAGTATTCTGCGAGCAACACGGCGTGTTGGTGGACTTGGAAAAGATTCTGACCGAATCACTCAATTGCAAAGCACGCCTCTTGCACTACTTTGAGGCCAACAATAATAGTACACAACCTGATGAGGGAGATCAGCTCTGGTGTGGCTGGCACAATGATCACGGCTCCTTGACGGGGCTGGTACCAGCCATGTATCTGTCCACACAAAAACCTCAAAAGCAACTCCCTGCTGCCCCTGATAGCAATGCTGGTCTGTACATTCATTCACGTTCCAACGAGGTGGTCAAAGTGAGTCTCCCCACCGATTGCATTGGATATCAAATTGGAGAAACCTTTCAGATCTTATCGGGAGGATTGTTGCAAGCCACTCCGCATGCGGTCAAGTCCACTCTCACAAAAGGCGTCACACGAGAAGCATTTGCCGTCTTTTTGGAGCCCGAGTACGAGTTTCCCATGACCATTCCAGAGGGACGCACTGTGGATGATTGCTGTTGTCCGGACAATCCAGCCAACAAGGCTCTGAAACTCAATAGCATCAAGTCACGGTGGAAGAAAGGCATGTGTTTTGGAGAATTCAACAACATTACCATTCAGACGTTTCATAAGCAATTGGATGCAGCTGAGTAAGGGACAACTGTACATAATAATTTGCGTTGTGATCGAAAGATGACAAACACACCGAGGATGGATATTGCTACTAGCAACAGTAGATAGTACGGCTTTGGAAAACAGGGTTCTTATAATACGATAAGAACAAATGGGATACAGAAAAGGGCAAAGTAATGCTTGAAGGAGTGGTGTCTTCCTATTCACAAGAAGTTTATAACAGATGCCTATGCAGCTTAGTAAAGATAGCCATATTATGAAACTCAGTACATGTAGTGGAAAGTTTGCTAGTGCTTTGTTGTGGACCCTTGTCCTTGTGTATGTATTTCAGAGCCACGGTTGATGTGACTTCTCCTTCTCAAGTGGAAATTGGGGCAGATGATGTAGTGGGAAGTCTTGTTTGTTTGTTGTCGTTACGGTCCACTCTACGGGAGAATATCCCCAAAATGATCCATGCCTGGCTCGTAGGAAGTACTCTTTTTGGGTGTTGTTGTCTCTGGCACGACAATCTTTTGCTGTGTTGTGATGGTTCTCTCTTCGGATACAAACTGATAAATGACAATGGCATATCCAATTCCGGGTAGATACTCGACGACATGTGAATGTCCATTTTGATCAATATACAAGTATACTTGTGCCAGATGATGAAAATCACTTCCTAACAGTTCCCACAAGACGGTTCCTTCTGGATAATACTGGTACAGACTGTTGTTTGTTGGGATGGTTGGAATGGCATTGGTAATGGTGAACCATCCGGATCCAAAGACACAGCAGGTTCCATCGCCGAGTGTGTCTTGTACTTTTAAATGATAAATGGTGTCACTCTCGACTTGCTGCTCGTAGCTAAACAGAGCGTTGCCTTCATCGGGTGTCCCCGACTCTACCAATTGAAAGGTAGCCGGTCCTGTCCGCTGACTCCAATGCCAAACAGTTTCCTCTGGAAATTGATCAGTGCGAATATTCAGGGTAATGACATGGGTGGAATTGACGGGAGTGGGAAAGGCTCCCGGCCATAGTTCGTCATTGGCGGTCGGATCATAATAGTACTGTCGACTGGAGGCATCGCTACTAGTAGTAGCATTGCTGCTGGTTCCAGTGGTGGCATTCAGAGCATTCACCACGTCTCTTGGCCATGGCAACAAGGCAATAATCATATAGAAGGAGAAGAAGAGAGGACGATTCATTGTCATGTCATTGCCTTGTTCGAATAATGAATGTCATTGGTTTGGTCAAGAAATGAAGATTTTCGAATTTGAAGTGAGAGAAATGAGGCGGGAGAGCGTCAGTTGAGACGCTCAGTTGCCCAGTGTTTTACCATGTACAGTAGCGATGGGGTTAATCGTTTCCGCCATTGGCTTTTCTCACAACTCAACCCACAACAACCATCGATTTCGATTTGTTCTTGGTTGTGTCCTGTTGCTTGTGGTTGCGGTTGTGGTTGTGGTTGTTCCTTTTGTCCTTGTAGACGGTAGTGCACAATCAAGCAAGCAAGCAAGCAAGAAAGTGTAACGAACATGAAGTTGGAGGAGAGTGCCAAAGGCACCGAGCTGCAATGCGTGACGGAAGACTCCAAACAGTCTGCTGCTGTTGTTTCGCAGCAAGATGATGTTTCTTCAGCCACGCCTGATTTGGATCATCACGAGGATTGGAGGATCATTCTGTACTATTGCTATATGGATTTGGATGTTGGGAATGCCGCTGTCGATCAGCATGTGGAGTTTCAACGTGACATTTGTCAACAACACGAGTTACTGGGACGGATACGCGTCAGCCCAGAAGGCATCAATGGCGTTCTCTCGGGTCGTCGGGTCGCTTGTCAAGCGTACGAAGAGCAATTGCGAGCCGAATTGACGCGATTGATCTCGTTCGATACTGAATTAGATGTCAAGTACTGCAAGCTTCGCACGGATTTGCCCGTGTCGACACAAGTCTTTGATTCCCTAATGGTCAAGGCCACCAACTCGGTCGTGAGTTTGTTTGAACCAGGCATGCTCCATCATGACAACGACAATGACAACAAAAGTTCGACAAAAAAGAAATACTCCAAACAATCCAATCGACGAAAACGACGCCAACAACAACGCAAAGACCTCATGGATCAAGACAAGCTACAACTAGACAATCATCTACGACAATTGGCCAATCAAGTACCCAACTTTCCAGGAGCTCTACACTTGTCGCCACAAGAATGGGATAGAAAATTGCAGCAGGCGAGAGGAGGAGATGCCATTCTACTCGATTGTCGCAATGTATACGAAAGCAATGTGGGCTATTTTCAAGTTACTTCTACAACTACTACAACTAATACCCTGCTCACCAATACGCGCAAGTACTCTGATCTGCCCAAGATATTGCTGCAGTCCAAAGATCAATGGGCACATAAGAAACAAATATTCATGTATTGTACTGGGGGAGTACGCTGCGAAATGGCAAGCAAATTCGTGCAGGCCGTCGTGGCAACAAACAATAATAATCAACAACAACAGCAACAATCACCAAACGACGACGTGCAAGTCTATCAACTCCATGGTGGAATTCAAAAATACTTGGAGCATCACTACTACAACAACCAACCAGAACAACAAAACAGTTCTAACGATGATGAGAACAACAACAACAACAACAACAACAAGAGCGAAGGTTTCTACCGTGGCCTCAACTTTGTCTTTGATCCTCGACGAACCGATCCCATGGTCATTCCACAAAAATATAATAATACTGGTGATGCTGATGCCACTAGTACTACGTGTGTGGGAAAATGTTGTCGATGTGGAATTCCACACGATGACTACGACAATGGACATGCTCCCGTCGAAAACAAGGAAGCACGGTGCTGCAAATGCCGCATTCTGCTTTTGGTCTGTAATGCCTGTCGGGACAATGTCCAGTGCTGGGGGGAACCCGAAAAGGAGGGTGTTTCAAAACTCTTTTGTGGCATTGATGATCACTGCGGTGATTACCAAGCCACGGGACAAAATCCAGTGAGCATTGTGGGCGGGGCGTCATAGCATGAGAAGGAATTATGATAGCAATAATTCAATCTTATAATCCTTTTCTTGCACTCCTTCCTTATTAGCTAGCTAGCTAGCCAAACTTGCTTTCCAAAGGTGCCTGTTCTTTGAGTGGCCGTGTGGACTCTTTGCTTTTGTCGTTGGGCTTGTGATCCTTCCTCTTTCGATTCGATTGATTCAACAAAGAGCTACAAGGCAATAAATAGCATACGGTACTGGTACTTTTACGGTACCGGTACGACTGTGCATGGTGATTCAAATGTCAAATCGAAACAGTCGAGCCACGAAAGTAAGTGACGTCAGCTGTATCCAAGAAAAATGAAGGCAAAGATCTCAACATCTCAACGTTCTCTGTCGGTGGCAGCTGGAGGGTTCGCTTGCACTATTGCAATGATTGCAGCCCAACCATTGACTACGACGCAACAATGATATTGCGATCGAGCGTCTGTATCGTGCTGAACACGTTGTTGTTGTTGCTTTTTCCTGGAGCAACTGGATTCCATCATGTGTCACCGTTTGCCGTTGTCAAGGCTTCTAAAAGATGGCGGACGCAGGGGACGAGAAATCCCCTAGAAGAGGCATGGCAAGAGCTTGACGATACCCTCAATAACAAAAGTCAAGAGTCCATTGGTAGACTCGAGGAAATTAGTCGGCTGCTGGACTCAACGGCAGCCTCGTTTGTCTTCTAATACTTCGGACGAACGTTTTGTCTGCTGACTTTTGCTGAGCGCCTCTTTCTCAGCCTCACGGCCCTTCTTGCGTCAACTCCTTGCGATGCGGGCTTTCTCGATGGCATTCGTTGGTTTATTGCTTCCTGCCGTTCTGCAGAATTCTCTTGAAGCTTCACTCCCTACTGACCAGCGAAGGGTTATCGTGACAGTCTGTGAAGAAGGTGGGGTGGAACAGCGGCGGCGGTGAATTGACGGCCTGACAGCTTCCTTGACAACTTCATTTTTTGTATCGGACTTCAGAGTCAGTGTTGACAGTGCAGGATTCTGAGTCACTTCCTGAAACGCTGTGGGTGCAGATCAGGTATATCCCCATTAGAAAGCACAAATGCAGCTGACGCAGCTAGCAGTACAAACCTCCTGTAATCAAAGCAAGGAGACCTCCCTCTTGGGATTCTTGAGCTCCGATTTTGTCTCTTCCCCCCTCTGCAAAACTGTTGAAACAGCATCCTTTGGGGGCGGTGTAGTTGGAGGCTGCTTGGCTGGTGGTGCCATGCTTGAAGTCGAAGTTGGCATCTCTGGGGGATCGTTTTGCTGTCCAGGAAAGACGGGATCTCCAGATTCCCCACTGTCTTTCATTGGCTACTAGAACTCCCTCCAAGTGGATTTGGTGGCGCACTTTCCCCAGGGATGGCTGCTGATTCTGTTGGCCAGGAAAGACAGGACCACTGGAGCCCCCGCTTCCTTCCCTTCGGCCAGAACTCCCCCCAATTGGATTTGGGGCGGAATCTTTCCGGGACCTGAAAGGGCTTTTTCCTGGGAATGACTGCTTGTTTGGTTGACCAGGAAAGACAGGACTTCCAGACTCCCCACTGCCGTCAGTTGGGTTTGGACTGCCTCCAAATGGATTTGCAGGAGGTGGTGTCCCTGGGAATGGTGGCTGCATATTTTGCTTCCCTGGAAAGGAGGTCTCTTCACTTCCTTTCACTTGGCTAGAAGTCCCTTCAAGTGGATTTGGTGGCGGCATTGTCCCAGTGAATGGTTTCTTGTTTGCTTGCCCTGGAAAGACTGGACCACCTGCTGCCCACTGGCGCCAGTTGGGTTTTGACTGCCTCCAAATGGATTTGCAGGAGGTGGTGTCCCTGGGAATGGTGGCTTCATATTTTGCTTCCCTGGAAAGGAGGACTCTTCACTTCCTTTCACTTGGCTAGAGTCCCTTCAAGTGGATTCGGTGGTGGCAATGTCCCAGTGAATGGTTTCTTGTTTGCTTGCCCTGGAAAGACTGGACCACCTGGCTGCCCATTTTCGGCTCCATCCCTCGTGTTTTGACTGCCTCCAAATGGATTTGCAGGAGGTGGTGTCCCTGGGAATGGTGGCGTTATATTTTGCTTCCCTGGAAAGGTGGACTCTTCACTTCCTTTCACTTGGCTAGAACTGCCTTCAAGTGGATTCAGTGGCGGCATTGTCCCAGTGAATGGTTTCTTGTTTGCTTGCCCTGGAAAGACTGGACCACCTGACTGCCCATTTTCGGCTCCATCCCTCGGGTTTTGACTGCCTCCAAATGGATTTGATGGAGGTGGTGTCCCTGAGAATGGTGGCTTCATGCTTGGCTTCCCTGGAAAGGAGGGACCAGACTCTTGACTTCCTTCCATCTGGTTGTTTGGTGGAGGAATCTGATTCGAGTCGGATGGGAGTCTACTTTGTTGCCCAGGGAAAATGGGACCGCCGGACTTATCGTCACCACCATCCATTTGATTCTGGTTCTTTAGAGACTCGGCATAGGATGCCCCTTCATCGGGAGTGGATTGTTGGCCATACAGCGCCGTGTCGGATTGTCGTGGGGACGCCGATAGCGCAGTCGCCGACGTTCTGTTCATTGTCTATTGGAGGCGAAATAAGATGTCCTGACTATTCTGTGACTATTTGTATCATCTTCATCCAAAGAAGAAGTTTCATCTACCAGTTGTCGAAAGGA